TCCTAAACGGATAAGAAATAACTTTGTTTACATGACATAATCATGTGAATGAACTAAGTTATATGTGTCTCCTCGTTCATAGGTTTTCTGAATAGATCTCGAAATTATGGCAGTAAAGTTCATGCCATATTTCGAGGGGGAGAATATTAAGATCAATTAAGAAAAATACTCTTTGTTAACATTGAGATAAAGATCAATTAAGAAAGATACTCTTCATTAAGAGTGAGATAAAGATTAATTAAGATGAATGCGACCGTTGGAGGAGTACAACGGTCACAACAGTGATACCCCTAAGCAGAAAAATAGCTAAATTCCTGGATCTTTTAAAGTTCCGATAGGAAGATAGCATAGTCATCCTCAAAGAAGTTAAGGTGGTGCTTAAAGCGTCATATGAGGTTTTAACAGATTAAACCCCAAATAAGATATTTGAAGATACACTATCTTTAGAAAAGATGGAAAGATCTAGGGGAGCATGGTATGTAGAGGTATGTAGAGACCTAAGACTTGAAGAGAAGAGGAACTGCGTGCCCACTCCGGTGACTCAGGAGCTATAAGTTTCTCAATATCTGTTGATATTGTATGACTAATACAACACCTGTTGTTAGCTCTTCAAACAAGACGAATAATGTAAACAATGATCTTGTTCTACAGGAGCCTGTAGAAGCAATTGCCTCTTGGCAATGAAGAGCAACAACAGCCCTATATGAAAGTACTAGTAGCTGAGGTCCTAGAAGGTCTCAAAGAATTAGTAAACCAATTTTCTAATGACTATGAAGTCTAAGTTAGTAAAGAAATTCAAATGAAGGGTGATCCCACCTCATTTGAAGAAGTCATGAGAAGCGTTCACTCGTTTAAATGGCAAGAAGCTATGAAAGTTGAAATGAATTCGACGAATACCAACGATGTTTGAGACTTAGAAGTAATTCCTAATGGAGCGAAAACAGTAGGTTGTTGATGGGTCTACAAGACAAAATGTGACTCCAAAGGGAATGTAGAAAGATATAAAGCATAACTTGTAGCAAAAGGCTTTACGCAAAGAGGATGAATAGATTATGATGAGAGTTTTCTCTCTAGACTCGTGCAAGGATTCTTTAGAATCAAAATGGTGTTATTGGCACATTACGATTTAAAGTTACATCAGATGGGTGTAAAGACGACATTCCTCAACGGGGATTTATATGAAAACGTTTACATGGCACAACCCAAAGATTTTATCATAGAAGAAAAAGAACGTATGAGATGTTGCCTGTAGAAATCTATTTATGGGTTAAAACAAGTCACAAGACAGTAGTATTTGAAGTTGATGAAAACAATAAGAAAGTTTGGGTTTTTCAAAGAAAATGAGAAGGACAATAGCGTTTATGCGAAGTTCAAGAATGGAAAATTTATTTTCCAGATCCTGTGAATAGATGACATTCTACTCACTAGTAGTGACGTTAATCTATCATTAGAGAAGAAGTTTTGTCCTCAAGTTTCAATATGAATGATCTTGGTGAAGCGTCATCGGTTCTAGGAATCGAAATTCACCAAGATAGAAGAAAATGGGGTATTATGACTATCGTAAAGGCATACTTAGAAAAGATTCTAAAGAAATAAAGTATGCATGCGAGTAAACCTACGCCTGCTCCTATAGTCAAGGGTAATAGATTTGGAGAACTTTAAGTGTTCCAGAAACCAATATGAGATCGATCAAATGAACATGGTTCCATATGCTTCAGCTGTTGGAAGTTTAATGAGTGTACAAGTACAAGTGAGAACTTACCCTGACGTAGTTTACGTATCCGGGATATTATGGTAGAAGTTCAGTCCAGATATAGATCACTGGAATGGAGTTGAGAATGTCTTGCAATTTTGCAAACTATTATAGGCCCCATGCTGAGGAAGAAAGAACAAGTACTTTCAAATAGTTGATGGTACAAATGTTAGGTCTTGGCGAGATGTGTAGTGAAATCTATAGCAGTTGCTGACACTCGCAGTTGGAGTATTATTATAGAAAAGCTCCAAAGAAACAGTTGTGATGTCATCGGTGATGCATACCATAGTATAGCTTGACATGAGGCTTAAGGAACAGACAAAAGGAGGTTAAGGGAATTTATACTCGGATTTAACAATGGTAGACAATAGCAATAACCATTTAAAGTAAGTTAACTCCTAAGACAACAGGTCAAGTGTGCTGCAAAACACATTGACACTAAGTTATATGTTGTAAAGGAGAAAATTCAGAATCATTTTGAAAGCATTGAGCACATAAGTACCGAGTAAGTACTTACAGATCCGTTTACCAAAGGCTTACCACCCAGTGCGTTCAGAGAACACACAATCGACATAAGTTTATGGAAAAGCCTATGATTTCTGGATACTAAGGGCCTAGTTGAGTATCTGTTTCAAAACAGAGAGGTGCATCGTAGCTGTTAAATCTAATGGCAACTAACCATGACGATGAGGCACGCTCTATGCACTGATCTGTGATGGAACGGGAAAAATAAAAAGAAAGTTAAGTTTAAGTCATAAGGTGAGATAAGGGGGAGAATGATAGGTTGATCTCCACCAATTGGTCCAACGATCAATTGGGCCCTTGATCCGCACCCTGATCGGGGGGCGCTCAGCCTTTCTACTGGCTGATGAGCCTCTGTCGCGCAGCACCATAAAAGAATGGTGGAGGATGGAGCACACAACACAAGATTCACTGTAGCCATCAGCGCCCCACCGTTGAGTCCCACCAGGAGGAGGTCGAAGCACCGTCTCCCACCTGCACGCTGGTGATGCATCGGTAAGCAGGTAGAAGTGCCTGAAGCCCTTCCCAGTGGTTACCACCAGCCGGACCCTTCATGGAGATCATGTCAGTGGACCTTCTAGCCCAGATGGCCCAAGCTGAGTCCTCCGGATGGTGCAGCCGATGGAGGAGTTTTAGGAGGAGGCAGGCATTGTGTGTAGCAAGGTCCCGTACACCGAGGCCTCCTTACTGCTTTGGCTGTGGAGCCACCTCCCAACTTACCAGACATTATCCACCGGTAGCTTTGGCCAATTGGTGGTGATGGTGACATACTGACACCAGCGGCAGCAGCTGCTTGAGTACACGGCTGACGACGGCTGCGCCGATTGCACCGAGAGCGAGGAGGCCAGTGCCGTACTAATGTCGCCGACAATTTGTTTGAGTGCACTGCTACGAGGGTGTCCACTGGGCGACTTGCCGTGAGTTCAATACCTTACGGTCTTGTGCTTTTAAAAAATGCTACTCTTTTGTTTGCTTGTGTTACTTTCCATTCTTTTGCAAATTATTCATTCACATTTTGGGTCTAAATATCTATTCTTTGTTTTTGCAACAATTTACATTGTTAATCTCCAAGAGAATAAATTACTTGAAAACAAATACTGCAGGCTTGTGCATCTTTTCTACAAGATTGGTACTAGCTCAGTAAAACAAGGCAAATCATAACAGTTGCATTGGTTGATGGTAGAGCTCACCAGCAATGTTTTGGTAAAATTCATTTTCCAATCTCCAACTTGCACAATAGTCTAATTTTTAGGCTGAACTTAGTGTTGAAACTGGATAAATTTGGTCCTCTAACTGGTTTTAAAGGTGGTTTTCTTTCTCCTAAAAATAATAAATATGGTTTTTAAAAAAAATATTAAACTAGCATGATTTTAAAAAAAAATATTAAGCTGGCTTGATTTTTAAAAAAAATATTATTTAGTTGTTGTTGCTCTAACGGGAGGCTGGAGTTAGTTGGATATTATTTGTTCATATTCCTAGTGTTTACTGCTTGTGGTCAGTCTTGTTATTTATTTAAATATCATTTTGTGCTCTACTTTATATAAATTGCATGACTAGTTGATTACATGATGTTTGGGGCACTCCCTTGCTTGAAACCTATAACCTAATAGGTCAATTAACATAAAGTAAAGCACTAGCCATGCAAATACCTAGTGTTTCATGTCATCTTGGACATATTTCTACATACTCATAGCATGGTAGATCCTTTTGCCAATGATATAGTTCAAACTATATTTAAATAAAAATGAACATGACTTCAAGCCAAAAAAAAAAGGAACATGAACAAATAAGATCTAAATAATTCTAAATAGGTTACCGAACAGATAAATGACATTTTATAAAAAAATGTTACTAGTTTCATATTTTTTGATTCAAAATAATTAGTTATGAGTTTTTAGAGATCAAATTAATTTTTTATTATTTTTATCAAGATAGAAAATCACCTTTGAAACCAACAAGAGGAGCAAATTTCTTCGGTTTTCAAATCTAGAGGACGTCCAGTACTCCGGTATCCAGTTTGTCGTGCAAGTTGGAGGTTGGAAAATACTTCACCCTAAAGCCTGTATACTTGTGCTCATGGTTCCCTTCTTCAGTTGTTGTCCACAAATATGTCCATCAACATCCACAGATGCAGATCGTCCATAGTTTGTGCCTATTAATTATATGAAAGTCAAAACCGTTTGAATAATTTACTTCTTCGATCTGGAGAGATGAGAAATGCCTCCTCGATCCGGTCTTTACTAACTTGTGAGAAGTATCTTCACTTTTATAGTTCTTGTTATCTCCAAAATATTTAAGTTCCAAACATATGCTTCATTTATATACATTATTTGCAAAGACAAAATATAGTAATTTCAACATTACTCTTACGAATGTTGATGGAGCTTATGTGCTATTACAGGAAGCAAGTGGAGTCACGGGAAGACAATACTAATAGGTAAATAATTCGTACAATGGAACCTAATTAAAAAAAATAGGCTAGGAGTGATCTCCTACATGACTATTTCATTTGGAGAAAAATATGGCTTCTTTACAAAAAAAAAGAATATATATTTATATTTAAAGAAAAATAACATGTGCTTTAATCTCAGTTTTGATGGCAGCAACTGCAAGCTTGCTCTTTCCATGTATTTATGTACTGGTATGGCATCAAAAGGGGCAGAGACTATGGTTTCGCCTAGGAAGAAAGGCTAGCAGCAGCACTGAAAGGAACATTGAGGCTCTAATGGAATCTTATGGATCCCTAGCTCCAAAGAGATACAACTACTCACAGGTAATGAAGATAACTTCCTTTCTTAATCATAAGCTCGGGGAAGGTGGTTACGGAGTGGTTTACAAAGGGAGGCTACTTGATGGCCGTCTAGTCGCCGTGAAATTTTTGCATGACTGCAAAGGACAAGGGGATGAGTTCGTAAATGAGGTTATGAGCATTGGTAGGACATCTCACGTGAATATTGTAAGCTTATTTGGGTTTTGTTTGGAGCGCTCAAAACGGGCTCTTATATATGAATACATGCCCAATGGTTCTCTGGATCAGTACATTTATTGTGAGAATCCCAAACACATTTTAGGATGGCAAAATCTCTACACTATAGCAATTGGGATTGCTCGTGGCCTAGAATACTTGCACCACAGCTGCAATACACGCATTGTACATTTTGATATCAAGCCCCAAAATATCCTTCTTGATCAAGATTTTTGCCCAAAGATTGCTGATTTTGGTTTAGCTAAATTTTGTCAGACAAAGGAGAGTAAGTTTTCAATGACTGGAACCAGAGGAACAATTGGATTCATTGCTCCAGAAGTTCACTCTCGGACCTTTGGAGTTGTTTCAACAAAATCAGATGTTTATAGTTATGGAATGATGTTGCTAGAGATGGTTGGAGGCAGGAAAAATGTGAAATCAGTAGTTGAAAAGTCAAGTCAGAAGTATTTTCCAGATTGGATTTATGACCATTTTTCCCACGATGATGGGTTAGAAGCTTGTGAAGTCACATGTGAAGTGCAGGAAATTGCTAAAAAGATGATTTTAATTGGTTTGTGGTGCGTGCAAGTACTACCAATGAGTCGCCCTACAATAACAAAGGTTTTGGAAATGTTTGAAAGAGGCTTAGATGAATTGGACATGCCACCAAAGCAAAACTTCAATAACATACCGTAAGATATTTTCTCTACATATTTATGTCCAGTAGAATTTTCAATGAAGATGATACATGCACCTATTTTCTCTTTTTCAGCGAAGAATCAGTACATATTCTAAATACAGAAACCACAAGCTTCAGCAGTCTTATCCAAACTCAAGCTTTTAGTGAAGTTCTAAAGTTTAAGCAAATAAGCACTACGAATTCAAAAAACCTACAGCGGCTGCCAACTCTTTGAAAAGGTCATCTACCCTATAGCATCAGAGTTAAGCATTTTATGGTAACTGTTATATCTAAATATGAACCTATGTATATGTACCTTTTGTTCACAGGTGACCAAGTTCTAATATGATGTTAGCCATACTCTCACTGAGAGAAAAAGGGTACTAGCTTACTATAGTGTCCTGCATTCTTGCATTTGAAGTATATAGATTCTGGGTCCAGCTGGTGGAAGGATACTGTCCAAATATTCCTTGTACTCCGCTCCCACGTGAGGAGGGCCGCTGCCTCTGGCGAACACCATATGCCAACGAGCCTCCATTCTTCTAAGTAGTAAGGAGATGTTTGCGCTGAAACTGCATGTTGCAAGCGTCTATTTCGTGTGTTTCAAATGTTTCAGAGGTATGTTGAAAGTGTTTCATACGGATGTTACAAAAGTAGATTGGGATGTTGCACATGTTGCAATACTTGTACACGTATGTTGCAAGATCCTGTTTTAATGTTTTATTTGTTTTTTCCGACGTATATTGCAAGTGTGTTTATTTGGACATTGCATATATTTTTACATAAATGATGCAAGTGTTTTATATGGATATTGTGTATATTTAAAAAATTTCAAGTGTTTTTGGAAGTGTTTCAGACACATGTTTCAAATATTTCATTTGTTTTTAGACGTATGTTGCGTTTTGTTGCATCTGGATGCTTCAAAACTAGATCGAGTGTTGCATCTCCCTCCTCGCCTTTCTGCTTTCTCGCCTTGGTGTCAGGCGCGTGAAGGTGAATGCGGGCCCCACATGCTTGCGGGCGGGCGCAATAGATGAGACGTGGGTGGACAGGTGTGGAACGTGAGACGAGGAGCAGCGGCGCGAGCATCCAGACTGGGGGCTTGTGTCCGGACGTCCGGACGCTAGTCGTGCCCTTTCTGGATCCGCCCAAGTAGGACTCACTGGTTACTAGTTTACTACTACTGGTCACGGCCCTCGATAGCGCCAACGCTTCCTCTACTCGTGCTGCCACAGCTGCCAAAACCGTTTGTTCACAGCACGCCGACACCATTGCCAGGCTCGAGGACATGAACATGCTAGTACGACAAATGCCGCAGCAACGTTGTGCCTTGTGAGAACCTAGTCAGCTGGGCGTGCGCTCAGCCAGCCCACCCGGGTTCGAGTGCTGATACTCGTCCGGGTGCCTCAACTAGGGGACTTATTCCCCGTTAATAATTCCAGTTGCCTCGCACGGACGAGCCACGATACTACAGCTTGTACGGGAAGGACGAGGCAATAAAAAAAAAGTTGTGCCTTGTGCCTCGGCGTCAGGTCTCAGGCTGCGCAAGTGGACGAGTACCTGCGGACTTGCCCAAGCTGAAATGCCACGCACTGCTACAGCCTACTCCAGCAGTGTGAACGCGGGTGGCAAAGTCGAACAGCGCGTGCAAAGACTTTTTCTTGACCCACTGCATCACGTGGATTGAGACATGCCTCTCGTCATTCTCTGTGGTGCACCACTGGCGTCGTGCTAGTGCTTCCGCCCTTTTCATCATTTGGTCTCAATCCCATGAAGACTTTTGTTGTTTGCTGCCCCCATTTGCGTTGTGCGTAGTAGCTCTCACTCTCAGACTCTCCAGTGCCTTGCCCAAAATCCTGGCGCGCGATGGACGGCCAGGGATGATTATTATTGCCCAAATGGTGGTGACATTGACGAGTTGGCAAGATTGTGGTGCACCCACTCACCACGTGCAATGCAAAGTAGGACTAGGAGTACACCACACTGGAAGAGTGCAGTCTGCTCGGCCGGCAACTCGGGTCAACAAATCAACATGCGCCGGTAAGTCTCACACCCGTACTGCTGCTGTGCTGCAACAGGCAGCTCACTGCAGCAGACGCGTGCTTTGCCGAGTGCTGCACTCGGCAAAGAGCCGTCGGCATATCCCTTCACGCCAAATGCTTTTTTGCCGAGTGCCGCATGTCGGACACTCGGCAAAGGATTTTCCGAGTGCCACGACAGCACTCGGCAAAGAAAAGCCGCCGTGACGGCCAGGCCACGGTGACGGCCCCTTTGCCGAGTGCCACGCGTCGGCACTCGGCAAATAAATGTGTTTTTTATTTTATTTTTTTAAATGCTTTGCCGAGTGCCTGCATATGGCACTCGGCAAAGCTTGTTTTCTTTTTTGTTTTTGGATTTTCTTTGCCGAGTGCTGTAGGTAGGCACTCGGCAAAGCAATTTTCTTTGCCGAGTGTCTTGCCCATGGCACTCGGCAAAGCTGGGAAGCTCAGTGTCCCAGATTCCCAGCTTTGTCGAGTGTCATGGTCATGACACTCGGCAAAGAAGTGAAAAAATTCAATTTTTTTTGGTTTTTAGTCTTCCATTGTTGCAAACAAGATATACATCATATATATATATATATATATATATATATATATATATATAACACAACTATATATCACACAAATGTATATCACAATCCACCACAAACACAAACATAGCATACAAGTATCACAATCTCAACTCCCAAGTCCAAAGTCCAAACACACAAGCATAGTTCACAAGTGCATTATATCACAACGGCTGCCATTTGAAGCTTACGGCGATGGTCCGGGTTGGGATGGCCAAACGTGCGATCCCGACGACCCTCCGAGGTGGTTCGACGCTACCCCCGATTGATGCTGCACAAAATAGAAGAGATTGCACGTGAACGACAAGAGAAGAGATAAATATGCAAGATGAATATCCGTCACTACCACCACCACCACCACATTACCGCCATCACCAACACTTCACCACCACCACCACCACACCACCACCACCACCACCATGAGCACCACAACACTGTGACCACCAACAACAACACCACACCACCACCACCACCATGACCACAACACCACCATGACCACCACACCACCACCACTAGGTTTCACTAGGTTTCTCTAAGTTTCAACATAGAAAGTAAAACTTCATACTTATACTCACCGGGGTAGAATTAGGACGTTGTGGAGGTGGATCTGGAGCAAGCAGCGTCTGTGGGATCGCCCAACCTTGTTGCTGGGCAATTTGCTGCATGAACTTGATCATCTCGGCCATCTGCCGCTGATCTTGCTCCCGTTGGGCCTCCAAAGCCTGTAGCCTTTGCCGCTCGACCTCCCGCTCGGCCTGCAGTTCCTGCACCTAGGCCTACAGCATTTGACCCCAATGTTTCAATAATGCATAGGTAAGGTATGTAAAAGTCAAAGAATGACGAATGAAACAGGAATGCTTACCTGGAGTGCCGACACCGCGGTCGGCCGTTGGCGTATGGGCACGCTTGAGCTCATGCTCGATGCTCGGAGCTGGTGGAGAGGAGGAGTAGAGGCCGTGTCGAGGACGCCGTCGCCAATCCAGAACCGTCCATGCTTCTTGCCTTGCCCCACCCTCATCATGAGCTGAGGATCAAGGCGCTCCTCGGTTCTCGGATCATAGCCCGGCCCATGGACTAACCTTGCCGCCTCCGTGTACGAAGAGAGGCGGGTGTGGACGCTGGAGTTGGTGTACGCCTCAACCAGGGCATCTGGGTCATACTCGATGTCGGCCGTCGCCTTGCCCATGTGAGCCAGAGCATATGCCTTGAGTTGACCAACTGGCTGGCCACCGTGTGCATCCGACTACGAGAAAGACAACAACATGTGGTTAGAAATGATGCAGAATTGAGCGCGGATAGATTAGAGCAATGGCGGAGACTTACATATGCCTTTGCATATATGCTGAGGCTGCGACTGCCCTGATGGTGAGGTACACCTGGCATCTGCAAACGCCTGTCGTGGGCCTCCTCGTGCTTCTTCTGCTAGTCACCGTCCAACCAGGTGTCCACAATATATTCCCAGCAATCGGGGTGGGTGGCGCACCAGTTTGGAATTGCCTACAGGACATCAAGTAGACGACATATCAGAAGATCAAATTAGGCATACTTAATCTCAAAAGAAATGAATATTCATGTTTTGTATTTACCTGTATGTACTGCTCCCTTGTCAGCGTCATCCGTCTTGCCTTCTCTTTGTTGACACGCCTGAGTAGGAACTTGGCGTTGTAGTCTATGTGGGCCTGGATGCGGGACTCGTAGTGCAAGTCCGTGACACGCCTTTTATAGGAAGCATAAGCCACCTGATATGCACTTTCCGGTTGGCTCTGGCTCCTCGTCCTCATCCTCCTTCTCCTCCTCCTCCTCCGTAGGTCTTTCAGCGAACGTTGCTTCGTGAAAGTCACCTAACCATCCTGCTACCCCGCCATTAGCATCAAACGCCTCCAAGCGTGGTCTCACCACCTCCTCTCTAGTATGATGGGCTTCACCATGGAACACCCACCGGGTATAGTTTGGCGTAAATCTATACTTGCAAAGATGTTCCCCCATGATCTTCCTTGTTTTTCTTCTCCTGTTTCCGCATTCGCTACAGGGACAGAATATGTCTCTCGCTCCATTAGCTGCCTTGCCAAATGCTTGGTTCAAGAAACCCTCGGTCTTGTCCATCCATTCAGGGGTGATTTTAGCCTGACTTGGGCGGCCCGTGTACATCCACTCACGGTTATCCATCCTCTAGCATATACATGAGCGAGTAATATAACCACCAATTGCATCTGAACGGCGTGCCTACTGTCTAATGGGTGAGGATAGGTCCTAATCCCACCCGTGGATGCGTAGATGAGGTTAGTTTACATGCTCTACTCCGATTCGAGACAAAATTTCGGCAGCACCTCCCCGTTGTTCTCCCGATACACGTCCTGGAAGGGAGAGTGTGTATCCGGAGAACAACAGGGAGGTGCTGCTGAAACTCTG